TATGGAAAAACAATCAGTCAACATACCATCCTGTTACGCTCCCCCTACAGTGATGTTTTCTGTCCCAAGAGAACGACCCAATTGCCTTCACATTGCCCATGGGACTGTGCCATCGACCTCATTCTGGTTGAGCAAGTGCCCCATGGCAAGATTTATCCACTCTTCATCCCAGAACAAAAGGCCATGGAGGAGTATATTGTAGAGGCATTACAACAAGGTTACATCCGTCCCTCGAAGTCCCCTGCTGCTTCCAGCTTCTTTTTCGTGGCCAAGAAGGATGGAGGCTTGAGGCCATGCATGGATTATCGAGCATTCAATCAGATGACAGTGAAATTTTATTATCTACTTCCCCTTGTCCCAGCAGCTCTGGAACAACTCCAAGGTGCCATTGTCTTCACCAAGTTGGACCTCAGCAGTGCTTACAACCTCATCTGGATATGCAGGGGGATGAGTGGAAGTCCGCATTTGTGACCCCTACCGGCCATCATCTCCGATAATGGAGATGGAATGTAAATGCTCAATTTACGCCATTAAAAGAGCACAAAAATCTGACTAAATCTCCTATGATAACTTCCAGTGTTATGTATCATCGAGGTTGAGAAAAGAACACAAAGCTGCAGACAACAGGTAAATGCCATTATCGCTGTTTTCCATGTTCGTGGAGTACATATCTTTACACAGCTTTTAAAAAATTTTGGGTAGCCGGTGTTTCCTATGTATTTGGCCAATTAGCGTACACTTACGTCACTGGTAGTTCCTATAGAACTGTTTTAGACCCTACTCTGAAGTGGGTGAGAACACGCCAAAAAAACTTCCGCCAATAGTTCTAGGAACTATGAAAAGGTTCCTCCGGTGCGAAAGCGCCTCTGGTCACCAGCAGTGAGCCTTCAGTGAGCTCAAGGAGACATTTACCACCGCACCACTCCTCGCCCATCCTGATCCAACCAGGCTTTTCATATTGGAAGATGATGCTACAACCACTGGTGTTGGAGCGGTGCTGTCTCAGCAGCATGGGGACTCCTCTACACTTCCATGTGCCTTCTTTTCTCACAAACTTACCCCGGCGGAGATTAATTATGACATCGGGGACAAGGAGTTACTCGCCATCAAGCTCGCCCTAGAGGAATGGAGTCATTGGCTAGAGGGGTCTCAGCATTCATTCAGTGCTCACGGATCATAAGAACCTCCAGTACCTCCGTGAATCAAAAAGACTCACTC